AAGCTGACTACATCTGCTTAAGAGTTAAAAATGAAACATACTCGTAGCTTTGCTTTTTAATCAAATTGTTATCAGATAATATTGAAATATAAAAAATCTCGATATAAAAAATCAAATAATAAAAATACAAAATTTGCTATCGTATATATACGTATAAATTATAAAAATCTACAAAATGAAATTCAATTAATTTAAAAAAAATTAAAATTGCTATATTTAAGGTGATTACGAAGCAAGAAGTATGAATAAGTATATTAACTTAAACATTGCCATAAAATTATATAATTTATCTTTTAATCATTAATAAATATATTATATAATATTATTAAAGTACTAGCTACTCACTCTCACTATCCTTCACAGGGTCTTAAACTATCTTCTTACCAAATTTTATCTAAATCGGTATAGTAGATCCAGAGATTACCGCCTACAACGTCACAAACTGTCAAACTCACAAACTACCTCTTTATAATATTAGTATAGATTAGTATAGATGTATGTATGTCACTTCAGTACGCTACAGTAGTTATGTGTTTTTATTTATTCATTGCCAGCCCTGCGCTTACGCCTCATCTGATACTTGCTAGATCTTCGTTTCTATATATCAAGTGTAAACTGTAAAGTCAGTCGCTCTCGTGCGCTAAAGTGCGCACGGCGCGCGCGTATATTCGTACTTATAATACAGAGATCGTATACAGTATAAAGTCAATTATAGAAAAATAGTAATGAAGTTTATGTTAAATTTTATACTACAGTATATCTAAAAGTAATACATAATTACTATAACTTTCATGTAACGTAAAATGGTAAGAAAATAACGTGTTTTTTAATTCGGTCCTGCAATTTTCTATTTGTTTATTATTTTTTATCAATAATTGATCACGAGTGAATTGTATAATAAGATCGTGTGTAATGGGAAGCTATTGCCTTTTAGGTAAGTAAATAAATGACGCATAATCGATTGCTATAGGAAAAAATCCAGTTATACATTTATTTTATACCTATACATAATTTTAGACCAATCTACATATTAAAATGGGACGAAGGTCTACGAGATAATTATAATAGATCTGTATGAGTTATACTGTAGAGTGTAGAGGTATAATGTAGAGTTCTTATACTTTTCGTTTCTTTGTCATTAATTTGCTACTATTAATAAAAATTACCTTATTTATTCCTTCTCATAACTCGCGTCTCGCTTGCGTATTTTGCTATTTCTCTACATCGGGCAGTTCATATTATCATGAGGATATACTCGTATGAACTGCAAAATGTAGAGAGTTGAGAGCAAAATGAAGAAATGTTAATTTAGATATATAAGTATTAAAAAACTTAATACATACATATTACATATTGATATAATGAAAAAGCTTAAATAAAACTATTTAAAGTAAAACAATTTCAATCTGTAAATTTATACTTTATCTTAAATCGATCGCTCAATTCATCCCAGTGATATGGAAGACGATGGACTACACATTCATAATGTGCTCTTATGGCATTTAGCCAAACCTATAAAACATTAATTGTTTATTATGTATATATCCACTCAAAACAATTAAATAGTTATAAATTAAATAAAAATAGTGATAATTAATAGCCTTTTTATTACCTTATATAGTTTTTAAAAATAGTTCTTAAAATATAATACATTTAAATTTCAATGCCATATCTAATTAAAAATACTTGTTTTTTTTTTAATAAATAGATATAAATATTATTTTAAAATTACTTAATTTATTTCAATATTAAGTCAAAAGTCTAATAGGTATATGGTTAAATAAATAAGTACATACATATTACGTAATGAAAACAAAAACGCAGTATTTACTATAAGGGCTATAGTTTTTGTTACCAGTAGTTGGCGCCACTGGCGATCCTAATGCTGTCGTTGAAAAAGTATTTGTTAGTACATAAAAGTAAATTAATTTACTTACAAAAACCTACAAAATATAATTCATTTATTTTTTTTTTAAATTTTAAATTGTCATGTTTTAGGTGATAAAGCGTTAGCTTAAATTAAAGCTTAGCGAGGAGCAAATTTACCAGAATTTTATTTTAAATAATTCATAATAAGTAATAACCAAATAAATAAAATATTGACTTTTCTTAGCTCTTCATTTAAAACACTAACATTTATTGAACCGTATCGCTTGTCTGCCGAAAATGATCAGGAACGGCACAATAGTTATGAATAATTAGTAAAAATCCGCGATGAAAAACTCACAAACTGTAAACCAGTATACTATTTAACTTTACTAGAGACCTCATTCAACACTTGCTAATATGAAGAGAAAAACAGAGTTATGGAACTCTACGTCTCGTATCTCTATGAGATTCTTTGTATAAGTTGCAATATCTACCGTATAACTAATTATATCTACGTAGATTTTATATTTAATAAAATTAAATTATACGACAACATGAATATTAGACAAGTTTAATATAGTATACCTGTCGTATATGCGCTTTTAAAGACTTCACTTCTATAGACTTCTTCCGCATCGTCTAATAGAAATATGTGAATAGGAAACCTGCAAGGTCGAACCTGCGAGAAACATAGTATCTTGTTTTGAATGTATCTATCATATCAAATGTATTGAATGAGTCTGCATCAGTAAGTAATCTGTACATATTTTTTTAACTATAAAATTTATAAAATTTTTGATTAAAAACAATAAATCGAACGATTAACAGCAATGGATTTTGTTAATAAAATTATAACAACTCATTGCACTGTACATCCTTGCAGTCGTAATATCTTTTCCTCGATTTCTATAGCCATGAAATAATTCAACAATCATTCTGCATTATTTAACACGCGAAGTTTAAAGGAAATCTAACGAAAATCACTTTTAATATTATTCTTATCAGTATTATAAATGAACATCACAAGTTAATTAGCATCCTAAACAAGGTCGTAATAAGTATTGGCATTGCTCATGCAATTGTTCCCTTTTTTAATCTTCGACTAAAATAAAAAGAATTTATTCGCCTTTGTTATAAAGAAACTAAAGAAAGACACAAAGCTATAATATCGAGAATTAAAAACTTAAAACATTTTATTTTAGTTTATTGTTAGATTAAATTACACTTTACATTACATTACAAACATTACTGTTCGTAATTATTTTGAAGTAAGTTCAGGTCAATATATGGGTAGTAATGAATTTGATAATAAGTTATCATAAAAGTAAAAATTTCACTCTAATTGTCTCACGAGAACTATTTTTTTCCAGGATAAAAAAGTATTTTATATAATTCTAGCCTGAATACCCTATCACTTGTAAAAGTAAAAGTATTTACAGCTTACACTCATGTCAAAATTTTATTGACAAAATATGGTTTTACTGACTTATCTTGCATTTTGATAAAAAAAACAATTGTTGGTAACATTCTTCTATAAATAAAAACACATACACATACCTGTGTATGTGTTTTTATTTATTTATTAGTTAGTTTTTATTTATTAATTATTTATTTTATTTATCCATGAAAACACTACGAAATATATTTCATATTGTAGTAGTGTTGCTCTGATGCAAAGTAACAAACTTACTACGTACAAAGGGGATATAATAGTACAAGTGCACTCTCTATTCCTTTCACTCTCCGGTGGGAAGCGTACTCAACAAGACTTGTGACGTTGGCTTTAGTGCTCTCCGATGCACAGAGGCTAGGCAACCTTCCAACTCCGAGCTGTCTTTGAGAATTTCTTGACAGGACCTCGAACCCAGGACCTCCGGATCTGCGACCATACATGCTAGCCATTAGACCACCAAAGCAGGTACTACTACCTACGTCAGTAATGGAAATTATAATAATAAAATGCTGTGGTGCGAATAAATTACATTTGCAATTTACATTCGCATCGCATATTACGCTTTTTATCATTTAAAATTTAATAATGACGCAACTTCTATTTGTTTTATAATGTTTACTTTTATTTTAGTGTATTAAATTCGCATATTAAAAGTTTCTAGAATTAATTTGTAAACTGATTTTAAATCTGTACTGTAACTATAAATAAATCGCTTAGTAGAAATAGCAAGGTAATTTAAGAGTAAAAATCCTTAAAAATATGGCGGGCATATTTTGATATAGGTAATTTAGAAAAGCTTTTTAACTATAGATAAACTATTAATTATGAAAATGACATTGTCGGTAAAAAGGTAAACTTAATAATTACTGTATCAATAAACATTAAGCTTGAAAATAACTGTTACAAAAGATATATATTTTATTCATATGAAGTAACTACGACTCATTGAACACAATGTTTGCAGATAGAGGCACTATAGGTTGACTAGTAACAGAAAATATTCCTATGAAGACAGTTCTACAAGGAATTGAGTTGAGATCAATACTGACTGTCGACGCAAAGTCGCCTTTCTCTATATCGCTGATAATTATTTTTCTTTTTTAATTTATTTGTGGATTAGGTAGAAATAGTGCGACAAATACATAAGCAATTTATTCATTTAACTTTATTATTTATATTCATTGTACGATAACAACCGATGTGAGAATAAAAAAAATAACATTCACCTTGACTTTTAAATACAAGCTTACCGATGAGCTCAAGGAGTCAAGCCTATCAAGGGCCAATAGGACTTTTTGTTATTAATTTATATCATTTATATTTTTCTATATAAAAAGGAAAATAATAAAAGCAACCTCAAAAGGACTTGATTTCGTGGTCTAGACACAATAATTCATTTCTCACGGTCGTTCACATATAATGCATATTTAAGTTAGCCAAATTCAATTTTTTGGGTGAAGGTCACGTGTGATATGTTATTGTGTTTCTTTCTGTAAGGCTTTAATTACTTCATGGTATTTAGATAATTCTCACAATGTTTCTTAAAGTTTAGGGTATAATAAAAGACATTATGTAATTTGTTCACAGATACAGTGGGCGTGAGGAAATAGAATAGAACGTCGACTTGTAAAGAAGTTAAAATAACAATAAATTAACGTTACTTAAATATTGTACGAAGATGGCTACAGTAAGAAGTTGGAAGGAAAACGCTCCGGCCAACCTCTACGCTTGTTGTACGGCTGCTCTTAAGGAAGAAAACGAAACAGCAGATCTATTCGGAAGGTCTTGGCGTGCCGGATTATCACCCCTACTATGGCGAGTACCAATTTTCCTGTGGGCCATCGTCATCATTTCCTGGTCCACAGCACACTTTTGGGGGCCTCGAGAAAAATTTCTGTTGTACATGACTCACTGGGGCCTAGTTCTGATTTTCCTGGAGTCTCTCTTCGGTATTGTGGTCACGATCAAAAAAACTCATGATCATCTACCTGGTAAGTTAAACAGTATTATTTTTCCTTATTGCATACAATTATTATTAATGCTTTAATCCGCAACAAAGATGCAAATGATAAATTAATCTAATATATTTAAACGAGCAATTCTTGTATTATTTATACCGGCGATTTCGGAAACAGCTCTAACGATTTCGCTGAAATTTACTACGTGCGTGTTTTCGAGTTTTCATACGGTTTTCATACGCACGCAAAATATGGTGGCTAATTTCACATATCAAGCGGCCAAGGCGCAAGATTGACAATCACAGGGTTCGAATCCCGGTCAGATTCAAAGTTTTTACTTTGTTTTTTTTTGTATTTATTCAAGTTTTTACTTTTTTTTTTTAATTGTACTCTTGGCCAAAAACTCCGAGCGACGCTCGATCACCCAGGTACTCATTTTAAAATTAAGTAGTAAAATTGTGAGTTTCATATCTTTTTATATAAAATTGCAGTGTGTGTATGTTGGTAACTCCTCCAAAACAACTTAAGTGATTTTGATGAATTTTCTTGTTCTGTTTGTGGGGTCATCTAGATGGTTCATAGTTATAGTCGGACCTGGTAGGTGGCGCTGTTATCTGTTTGCCTTCCGAGTCCGCTAGTGAATAGGGGAAAAGTGCTATGAAAGGGACAAGTTTAGAATGGGAAAATCAAATTTATTATTATTTATTTATTAGATTATTTGAATAATATTTTATAGTTATTGTACCGCTAACTAATCATTGGTGGTTGGTTGTGGACTCACTTAAAAGGTGAGTGCATAATAATACAAAGTTATTCGAAAATCTTTTTTGCTGTGAGGATATTTTTAAAATAGATAATAGTCTACTAAATAAGCCTTGCAAAAGACGGAAAAGTAATAGTTGAGGCAGGACCTAAACCCCAACGTTAAAAAAAAGGACCTAAACGCCCCATTAAAACGGGGGAGGTCCTGTTGGGTTTTAGTACTGGCTTCTCTAGCCAGAGAGTCCCACGTAACCACCTGTACTTATACAGATGGTATGCGTAAATGCATTTCCCAACATTTAAATGCATCGGCCAGATTACGATTAAGTATAGTATATTATAGGTATATTACTTATTGGAGATATATTAACAAACAATTAAAAAACATAAGAGATTCTATAATAATTGGTAAGAACCTGTTTATAATATGTCCCTTTCATGACCATCAATGTCCCATTGAAGGCCACGCCGTCATGAATAGGACGTATCTTAAGAATTTTTGACATTAATGCTACAATGTTTGGAAAACATATTATTTTTGGTTTATATTTTGAAAGATGAATAGATAAAGTTACGTTATATACAAAAGATTTTTTATTATACCTCATTTATTGCTCAAAATCTTACACTAAAAAAAATTGTCGAATTCATGGCAACTTTCCCATACTAAGAATATTAAATCAATTCAAATATTTCAATACGAAATCTGATATCTTTATGAGATATATTTACTATCTCAATATTAAATAATGTTTGAAGATTACGTTGTCATCATACATTTTACATATAACGTGATCCAAAGAGCACGTGGGGATCTCTGTCATCGCAACTATCTTGCAGCACACAAATAGCTTCAGCTCGTTCCCATTAGTTTTACTAAATGAATAACATTGGCACATATTGTCGGCAGTCACAGACCCGGTAGCCATAAACAATAATCTTATCTACAAATATAGAGTGTACCAATTAAATCTGCTCTTTTCCACTTTTAAAATATAAATAGATTGGATTTGCCTTTTTAAATCGAAACAACAATCTCTCGATGTTTACTTGTTGAAAACATCGAAGTAGGTTTTATTTTTTATATCTTATCTTATTTATATCTGGAGTATTATTTAACAATCAAATGTTTATTGTTACCGATTAAAAGATGGTTAACGTTCTTTACATTTATCAGTGAACATTGTTATATTTTGTTTGTGTACTTCTACAACAATAGCACACATTTTTATATTTAAATATTCAACTTTGCGATTCGGATGAATCGTTTAATATTTGTAATGTACTAGCAACACACCCTCGCTACGCTCAGATTCGTTCCTACGTTACGTTTTAACGTTTAGTGTATATTTCCCAGAGATGAGATATTTCCCCGCAGTAAAATATATTTTACCGCCGCAGTATAATAGTATAGATTCGGCGTCTGTATCGATAATAATGTCTATTTCAATAACATTTTCCAAAATATATTTAATGTACAGATTCGGCTTAGTTACAATTTTATTATAGGTATAGATAAATAGGTACGTGATTGATGTCATCAGAAATTTTACGAAAATTATAAGGGCTTCGGCTATTATAAAATATAAATGCATTCATACAAATATAAATATTTATAGTAACTGTATATTAGCTAGAAAGTCTAGAAAATGTACTTAATTTATCTTTTAATAAAACGAGAGTTATAAAAACATACAATATAATGCAAAGTTGGTTTTTATAATGAATATATTCAATAATTACAAATTACAAGGTTAACTAAAAATGATTGTATCAATATTAATATGTTGTAACACCACAATATTTTAATATATTTTAATATATATAGTGTTGCTTATTTACTAAACAATATGCGCGTGCAATAAATAATAAATATGTATAATGACTTAAAAAAATTAATAATTACTGTGAATTATTTAAAGTATTTAATTTTATTAATTTTCTTGAACTCATAAGTTACTTCTAATTCCTTAATATTTTTACCTGCATAGCATCCTATGTCGTAACTCTAGCTACACATATACCGATGGTTTTGCAGATTCGATACGCACGGTATATTTATCATATTTCACCACAGTATTAAATTGTAAAGAAAATAAATACAAAACAATTAAAATAAAACTACTTATCTTTTTGAACTTATATGCGGATTTCAGTACTCATGGTCACAGGAGAGATCAAGTCTCACAACCCAAACTAGGAAACCAAAAATCAAAATAAATCCAAATCTAAAAATAAATCTAATTAAAATAAAAAAGATAGTTTTATTTAAAACTAGCGAGACCAACTAGAAAAACAAAAACAAACTATCCCACGGGAACCGTACGTTTACCGCGATAAAAAGTAGCCTTTGTGCTATTCCAGACTATATCAAATATATCTCTATTTCAAATTTCATCCAGATCCATTTAGCTTTTCTGGCGTGATTGAGTAACAAACATCCATACAAACATCTAAACTTTCACATTTATAACATTAGTAAGAGTACTAGTATATCTGTGGTAAGAGTAAGAAGTAAGATTCGCATAAATCTAAGAAAGCATTAAATACAAAACAAGCTTTTTGCTTCTTGTATAGTCGAGCAAGGTGACGTGTAGTCCTTGTGGACGGTCACTTCGAACGTCGACGGAAGACAAATGTCATCTTGCGTGAGTTGAATTGACTTAGAATTATCTGTTTCCCTAACGCTTGGGAAACGCTATCCGCTCACACATTGCTCAACTTGTGTAGACAAAGTTACTCGTTTTATTTATTCATTTATTATTCAATATTTATTATACTCATTTATAGATCACATCGTTTTATGTGTAATACTCCAAGTCCTTTAATTAAATTACATGAAAGTTCAGAAACAATTAATATGATTATTTAAGGTCATTCCAAGTTTTTGTATAAATATCTTAAAATAAAATTTACTGTACGTGTAAATAACGTCAGGTCGCCCTTCAATACTTATAAATATAAAAATGGTTAACTCTGATAATGTATACGAAACCTAGATAATGAGTTATTTAAGTGATTAAATAAAATTAAAGAGCAAAAGGATAGAGCAATGATTAATTATTGCACAACAAAAAAATATTCAAAAATATAAAATAAAAACACAGACTCTTTTGATATTTTACCACTCCATTTGTTTATTTAATAAGATTCATAACAAACATTATTTATCCGCAGAAGGTTTATTGACCTTGTATACCTAATTATCTACTAATAGTTGTGCATTTCCTATTATCTTGCTTTAAAAGTGAATTAAAAAATATAGTCCACCCAAATATTTTAGTTCCAAGCTAAATCTTTCTTGACTCTACATCTATCACTAAATATTTATAATGACATTATTATGATTATTACCTATTAAAAGATTTAAACAGCACCTAGGACAAATATCACAGTAGGTATATTTTAACTGAAGGTCACAAAAGGCTTAAAGATTGATCTTAAGTTTTTGGAGCAAATTTTATAAAATGTGATCAGTTTGGTTGTATGATTTATATTACGTAAGATCCTTTAAAATTGTAAAATAATATTCTTCTCTTCTAATAATTTAATATTCTTCTGGAAAAATACATCTGCTTGGAAAAATTACCTACACAAAGTGATTTTAAATTTTAATTGACAGAAATCACTGGGGTTAAGTGACATTTTAATTTTACTAAAAAAAATGTTTTACAGATTCTTCGCCGAGTCTGCCTTGGTACGTCAGAACTTACTGGATATTGTACAACATCACTGTCCCGATTGCTTTCCTTATCACGTTGTTTTACTGGGCAGTGCTAAGAGCTCGTACGTAATTTTTTTTCTATGAATTTTAAGGGCTTTTATTTCAAAAATAATTATCATTTTATTTAGACTTTATTACTGTGCCGCTTTGAAGTTTTCAATGTTAAAAACAAATCTCTATCATCGTTGATCATATCATCATGATGAATGATCTAGATCTATAATTATGAAAAAATGCATCTGTGTAAATACTACGTTAATTATTGATATTCTTACCTAATTAATACCTACTATTTTTTTTCGTAATGTAGATGTTTGTTTCTAATAATAAAATGTGTATAAAATAATTATAATTTTTATTATTGGAAATCCGATGCGAAATAGTCTTAAAGTATTTTACTAGTATAGCTTACTAAATAAAGTAATATCGTGGAAAATCATTTTCATTTTTAGGATTCCGTACCCGAAGGGTAAAACGGGACCCTATTATTAAGACTCCGCTATCCGTCTGTCTGTCCGTCTACCTGTCCGTCTGTCCGTCTATCACCAGGCTGTATCTCATGGACGATGATGTATTTCTGTTGCCGTTATAACAACAAATACTAAAAAACAGAATAAAATAAATATTTATAATTTTTGTAGATAATGATACAGAACCCGTCATGCGCGAGTCCGACTCGCACTTGGACGGGTTTTTTTTTCATTTATTTCGTTATACTTGTTAAAAAATAATTTTACATATTTTTTTTATTGCAGTGTTTACTTGTAACTTTAATTCTTAGATTTTTAGATTATTCTTTTGCTATGCATATAAAAGTACAATAAAAAATATATTTTCATTTCAGCTGGGAAAAAAATCAACTACGCACCGAATCCTATTTTAGACATCATGTTACACGGCATGAACTCTGGCCTGATGTTCATAGAGCTGGTATTCTCGGCCCACCCCAGCCGTCTTCTACATATAATGCAGCCTCTATACTTCTCGCTGGCTTACTTACTGTTTACCGTTGCATATTTTATAGCCGGGGGACACGACCCGTAAGTTTATATTAGATCATGTTTTCTGTGCCTATAACATGCTTTATTGCATTTTTATATTATGCTCTTTCCAAAAAAATTACTAACTTTACTATCTTTCTAGTAAAACCTTCTTTTTAGACCGACTTCAAAATCACTTAAAAAATAATTATTCCACTCTTATGGGTGAAATTTATTATTTTTTCAAAGAAGGATTATGAAAATCTATTCTTAACTAACAAAGATATCGTGTAACATTCCTACAAAAATAAAAAAATACAGCCGACTTGGGTATATTTTTGAAGTCTCAAGTCGCACTCTCTCACTTTTGATAAGACGTATGTTTGGAGTCAAGTCTGGTACATAATTTCAATAGCAATTATAATATTGTCTGTTTGACTCTCTGTCTATTTCTTTCCATTTTAGTATAAAAATAATTAGATGGATTAAATAATAAATTCAATTTTCCTCACAGCGCAAGTATATGATACATTTTGATCGACATAGTTTTAAAGCTTTAATTCTCTATAGCAAGCAAGACAGAAATTAAAATAAACTCTTTAGTGTAATATTGGATAGAAACTACTATACGATAAAATATTTATATTTAGATTCGATTCGAACACCTCCAAGACATAGAGGCGAATGCTCGTAACATTCGCGGTCACAGTTTATTGTTATTAATAAATGAATTGGTCATACTGCTATTACTAAAATGCTACAATTGGTAAATAAATGAAAATCTATGTACATTCAAAATGTAATCGTGGGAATTAGGTTGCGATTAAACAAAATACTAATAATATGAGAACCACTCGATTATTGTAAGGAACTGAACTGCATATTCTATTGTACTAGAAACACCGAACACGATAAAATCAATTTCATTCTAGATACACAGGTTACTTATGTTGACATTTTTAGTTTTTACTAACAACGTTCAAAATTACTTGCGCCTTTACTTATAACTAAATAAATTACAATAGTAAATATTTTCTAGCTTATTTATTTAACTTGTGTAAAACATAATAATGAATCTCGGTCAGGTAAATATAAGTCTACGGACTAATATAAAATATATGCGAAAATTTGTATGTGTGTATGGGTAATATGCGTTCGCTCCTTCACTTTAATATGGCTGGATGGATTTGGATGTTTAGTACACAAATAGAACTGAAGTAACACATAGGCTACTGCGACTCATTAGAACGAGGCGAGAGTAAGAGAACAAGCTTGTATTTTAAATTAAAACGTAAAATTCATAAAAATAGACATAAAATAATGTAACACGTAATGTGATTTTATTAACGCGATTATATACTTATACGTAAATATATTAAGTAAAATTATTTTTTTAAATCGGTTTTAATTCATTTTTCACAATATTTTAGTCAGTTCTAACTTCAATATTACATGAAACGGAATTCGTTTATTTATTCGCATACATAAGTGACCATTACAGGGCTTATTTTCCAAATATGACTTATCAGAATAGATAAAATAGAACGTAAAAATAATCTTTATACATGCACATCCTTTTCTCAAGGATAACTGAGATGTATACAGTGTTTAGTATCTACTATTGACACAGTAATATTCATTTTGACAATAAACAAGCACCTTGTCTATATTTAAACAAACAACTCAAACAGTTAAAGGCGCTTGCGCATACTTGTTACTTTAAGTATCATAAAGTATGTACATGCTTATAAGTTTGTATTTATTTATTTGTGACAATGAAGGCGGTTGTGTTTAGGTAGATAATATATGATTAAAAGGTTAAAATAGTTGGAAGAAATAATTTTCTTGCTCAAAAAAAGAAAAGTTATCTGTGGCACAAAATTAACTAAAAATATGAAAATATGAGACCTCTGCATCAAAACTATTTCCTTTGAAAATTACCACTTGAAAATATTTTCAAGTGATAATATTCAAATAGATACTTTTGCGGCCTTCACATATAGAACCCAGTATTTCGTTATTAGATTGTGAAATATATTGCAAAATAGACACTAATTATATTTTTAAAGTCATATCAATCTATTAAAAGCGCCTTGGTATTGACCTTTACCACGGAATTCTTGTGTAAGTCGTAAGGCCATCAGAGAATAATAGTATAGGTATACTTTGTACTGTAGGTACTTACCGTCTTTAAAACTTTTGAATTCAACCGACTTTTAAAATGGATCTGATAAACAAAAAGTATGAGATAAATAAAAAATAATAACACGGTACATCTCAAAATTATACACTAATTTATGGTGTACCGAGTAATATAAAGAATAATACAGGTAATAGGGAGCAAGATACATATGTCTCCGACTGTATAATACTGTTGTTTTTTCGTCAACTTGTTCTCATCTTTTTAGTTCGCTTTTCTTTATTTTTGTAAATTATTTTATTATTATTATTATTTAAACTTATTCATTAAAAATGAATTATGAAAATCTTATATTAATTATAATTGGTGAGGTTTAGCGTAATATACACACCATAAAAATTAAACATTGATTACCTCCTTTTTGAAATCGGTCTATTAAACTACAATCAATTTTGATTTACACGTTAGAATTATATTAATCGTAATTACCAACCAGTAAACCCGTTTCTTGATATTTTTTATTGTTTATATCTATAGTGTATACTATATTTTTTATTCTATTTGCATTTATTACTATACAGAAAATTGAAAATTAAAATTCTCAATTTATATTGTTCCCTACAAAAAATCATATTTTGAGCTAGAAATAAAAAAGAAATATATAACAATAAGAAGGTACGAGTATATTAAGTTAATTTACCCACTAAAAGAAAGAAAAAAAACTTCATAAATAATATTATAACTATGCTGGCAATGAAACCTTATTTTTAAGGAACGTTAATATCCTTTGTTTAGTCAAGGTTAATAATACAATCGAAGAGATGAGTTTGAAAAGGTAGCCAGAACGCAGAATGGCTTTGCATACTAATAATAAAGTCATTGACTGTTGAGGTAGAACATGCACAACCTATTATATCATTCTTTGCAGAACAATGAACTTAGATATTTTTAAAGACAATTAATGCTAGCTTTTGCTCAAATGTCAATCCTCCTGTCATTAATTTTTTTTTTTTTTTTACCCGACTGCACAAAAAGGAAGATTATATTTTACAAGTATATGTGTATGGTTATACCTACAATCTACATACGTGGTTTCTTTTTTTAATGAAATTTCCACCTTATCAAGCTTTTTATTTTCACCTTAATTTGTGTAAGCTGTTCTACGTAGACTTGCCTTATAATTATTTAGACGCTAATACAATTAGGTAAAAATTATATAAATTGGTTCATTGTACCAGAATGATAAAATGTTGCTACTTAAAAATGTCAGTGACATATTATAAAAGCATATGTTTATTTCTTTACATGTGAGATTGCAATGTAATTAATTTAAAAAAATAATTTATTATATTTTATTTTATATTTTACTAAGTATATGTTGTATTATTATATTTTTATTTAATTTGCAACCACTAAACATTTTTATAAGAGCAACCAAAGCCAGTGAGTTTCATTATATTTGATTCGGCTTGAGTGGGCAACTTTGTTTTTAATTATTACCTTTACTAATTGTAATAATAATCTAATAACTAACCAATATATATCTTTATTATGTAGGTACTATTTATTTATTTTTTTTGTAATTTTTTCCAGTTGGGGTAATGCATTTATCTACCCGGTGATCGACTGGTCAAAGCCACTGAAAACGTTAGTGGTGGTGACTCTCACGGCACTGTTCCTCGCTCTGATGCACATAATCACTGTTGGTGTTGCATCAATTCGTGACTTCATCGTCAGAAAATACTCTCAAAATAAAAATGGAGAGTACAACGATGCTTTCGAAGCTTAAGTTCATTATTTATAGTGATAGGGAATTTACAAAGACAGAAATCGATGTAACATAGCAACTCGAAGTGACGTCAGACAGAAGAAGCAACTGTTATTTATGTACGTTATGTACGGGTGACTGCAATAATACACATGGAATGGACATTAAATTATTAGGTACATGGTGCATACTGCCAAATTATTTATAATGGTACACGTACATATTATATGTAATTATAATAAATGATATCAGCAGTTTGTAGGATAAGTCATGGCCGCTAGTTATGTACTTATGTATATATACATGATTACAATTTTGTGGGACATTACCTACTACTTAATGCATATGGAGATCGTTTTTTAATTGCTAAAAGATTAACTGCCAAACAATTAAAGTTATAATAGTAAATATTATCTTAGCTTAGGCAAAGTTGGTTGTTTCGTATTTTTTCATATAGGCTTGTGGCAACTTGGATCAGTTCATGTCGTAGAAATTCTGAAATTCTAATAAACATATATTAATTGAAAACTGTATACAGACTTGTAGACATATTAATATTTTTAACTTGTGCACTGCGCTTTGTATTCGGGACTACCTAAAAAAAATTCCTACATATATTGGGATCGTGGCATGTTATCATTAAAAGTTTTTTTTTGTCTACTAGATGTTAGATGTTAAATGTTTATTGAGGTTTCAACCATATCTGTGAAAACCATTTTTCTTTACTTACAATTTACAAAGACTGGCTTACTCCGTTAATTCATTTATTTATTGAGTCAATTATAGGAGGCTTTATATAAACCATAAAATCAATAAATTCGAAAAAACATGTACACGACTTCACACTAATATGTCAGTAAAAGTATTGTATGGCTACCCTTGAAAAATAAGCTCGTATAGACGCACACCTAACGACAATGAACTTAATAAATCCTTACGTAAGAACCTATATTTAAAACTGGTTACAGTGTTCGAAAAGACCTTTAACAGTTAATTAATATAACTTTATAGACATTGATTATATATGTAGTGGTGGTTTTATAGTGAGATATCTTTCTTAATGTTATTATTTTCGTCTGATGCGAAATGTTACGCTAAACCCAGCGTATAGAACGCCATGGGCATAATTCGTTGGCTTACTATTACAAGGTTCTATGTTAATTTTAATGAAGTTTAGTAATTTTTACATAGAACTTCGTTATTTTGTTATCGTAAAAAAACAACATAGAACTATGTAAAATTGAATATTTTGTAGTTATAGTGCCGCTATCTAGTGGTTTGTTTTTGCAAAACTGTAGCTAATGACACATAGAACCTTGTAGCATTAATAACTAAATAAGTACTAAAATTGTAACATAGAATCTTGTAATAGTGAGCCAACGAATTATGTCTGTTCATACAGAGATTATACTTTTTTCTCAAAAAGTACATATAATCTCTGTATGTACAGTTTTGACGAACATTAAATCCAACTCATCCAAGTGAAATATGTAATTCGATAGATTGAAGATTAGTTGTTATGTTAGCAGTTTATAAATCAATTAATAGTTAAGCGTGATCCTGGGCACAACAACCTAAACCGTAATATACGTTTGACATTTTTTGCTTATGGCGCCACCATCGACAAAAAGTCAAGCACCTTCCTATAAAAAAGAACTTAATTTTTATTAAAAAAAACTGTGATGTTTATTTTTATTAGAATAATTGTATATGGTCGTAGGTTTGCCATCGTTATATTAGGGACGATAATATATATTTACCTTATAAATATTAAGTTATTTTAAATTATTTTAGTGTCTTTATTTGACAAAACAATAACACCAAGATTACATATATATAATGATACAAGATTTCAAGATTACATATGTGTTCACATCATGTACATTGTACTTCCAAAGATTAGTCATAACGTTTAACATTGTCTGTACTTAATCTTTGATATTTCATTTTTACCAATTTTTAATCATAGTTGCAGTGTATAATTTTTTAAAGCGCTGTCACTTAACTGATATCTATAAAGTTAAATCAGTTAGTTATACGTTTCTGGTATAGTCCTGTTTGATATGACAAGATGAAAGCAATAGTTAAGAAACTGCAAATAATAAACAATAACTCATATATCTAATACTACTATGTTGCTAGTACCATATTGGACAAGTAGCATCGCGCACTCCTACTGACCGGAAATGGCTATGATGGACCGAGTTATTATAAAAAAGATAGAAGCAGTTATTATCTGCTTCACTTTCTCTGCAACTTTAAGCACTGGCTCTGGGGAAATAGCAGTGTTAGATACGCTAGCAAAATAGGAGATTAAAAAAAACGAATGCGAAAGACCAAAAGAATTGATATTGTACATATATATTATATGTATATATGCATAGTTTAATCGTTAGTGTCTACTTAGGATTTGTATGGATATAATTATTAATAATTTATGTATGTATTCCTTCAATAAAATAAACATTTAAGCAATAATTATATTAAATTAGAAAATAATATTTGTTTTATTTTACCCATACTACTTACCTAAGGTCGGTACTTTATAAAGCTAACACCTAATATATATTAATTAATTTTAGCTGTTAGAATATTATATAAGATGCCAGTAATTTTTTATTTAAATATTACCTACAAATTAAAAACCGAAACAAACGTTTGAAGTAATAATTTTAAGTATAGGCTGTATGTCGGATTTACTCGTAGTATGACGGAAAATAATTCTGCTGTTCATAACACAGTACACACGAACGGCCTTTATACCACAAAATACTTTATCTGAGTCAGTTACGGCTACTACTCAGTCGAGTTTTGGGTGATCACATAATATGAGATACTTTATAATACGTTCTCTTGCAGGCGTGATCGTCAAACACTACTTACAGATTGCATGCTGGGATGGCAGGTGCATCATAAATATGTATAATTTTTATCATAAAATACAATCTGCCCTCGAAATATGTACAGCATATGTTTATTTTTAAGTAATCGTAACGGAATACACGAAATGTTATAGAATACAATAAAATACTTATTACTACAACACAATCATTACAATATGCAACACACCGTGAATGGAGACATGTTGTGCCTAATTTTCTTATTATTTATTATTCCACTTTAAAGCCCTCATTGTTTTTTTTTGAAGTTATAGGTACTTCTTTTGTCACGTTTGGAAAAAAATATGAGAGTAAAATTTTTAGGATGCGCGCGCACACCGACAGCCAAAAAGCGACATGATGAAGTTCGCTGCATTCCTTTTACAAACAGAGGGTTCTGAGTTGTGACACACGAGGTGAATTCTTTCGCTATTTTTGTTCTATTAAAAGAAAGTAAAAAAAAGAAAGTTCTGTCAAAAAGTATAACTTCTTACGTGCGTACATGATAAGTACACACACACTTTTTTTTAAAGTATTACCAGTATTACTATATAACAAATTGAAAGAAAGAGTGTTACGTTTCGCCCCTAGGTCACTAATAAAGCAAATTCGCACTTTATGTGATAATTTTTTCGTTATCTATTTTATAAGCGGACTGTTGTTCTAATAAAAGCTGTAATAATGTATGTACATACATAAATAACATTCTGTTTGTTCATTTAACAAATGAAATAATAAATAGCTTAATCATTTTAAGTAACGTTTGTAACTCTCTGCGATAAACGAGGAATGTGGATCCCTCCCGAATTAACTAATAATTAAATAAAAGAAAAAGTGACCCCGCTTATAAAATTACGTAAAATAAAATGAAATATGAATAGGTATTAAAAAAATTTGCTTTTTATTAATATTGGACAATGGACATATTAACTTTAACATTTAGTAAACACTAAACAGTGTTTTTTTTCTGCTTAACCAATTTGTAATGACAAATTTACTACCAAGAATCTACCATATTTTACGTATTAAGCTTGCTTTTCCTCGAAACACACTTGCATTTAAAATATTTTCGTATATGTGGGAACCTTCTTTTTTTTAACGTTGGGAAATGCATTTACGCACGACGTGTGGGACTCACCGGCGTAATACAGCCAGTACTACCCACTAAAACCCAACAAAACCTTCCCCCGTCTTAATGGGGCGTCGCAGGATCGCTTACGCATTCAACTACGACGCCCCGACGGCAGGTCTGCCGAAGCAGACCACCACAACCATGGGGTTACTCCAAGGTCCACTCTGCTATCAGAGAAGTACCAGGAGCAACCCGCATGGTACACCGCCCTCCGAAGAGGGCCACCTCCCACCGTCCACCGAAGTGAGCAACCTCACTGTGCGTTTCTTACCTTCGCGCCCGGTTGGGTTGCCGGGCACTACTGAGCCCCCCACCACAACAATGTGAACGCACGTTGGGGGGGATATATGTGGGAACCTACTTCATCGTAAAATTTCTGAGCTAAATTATATATTTATTTACTAGTGGAATCCAATTATCGTTGCTTTAGTTCAAAGATTCGGTTCGTCCCTAGTGAAAAACAAAAACAAGTCTATCCCACGGGAACCGTACATTTTTCCGGGATAAAAAGTAGCCTATATGATATTCTATCACTGTGCTGTGCTCCAGACATCCATCCATCCAATCTTTCGTATTTATATATAGGTGCATATATTAACAAATACAGGTCTCACATTATGCATTTTATAAATATTCCCGATTACACATTTCTAGATTCTTCGAGTTCTTGAGCATATATAATATATCTTAAACTATAGGTAGTAGGTACTTAATCGATAAAAGTCATTACACAAAATCAATACTCATACGAGACATCGATATTCAATCAGTTATATCTATTAAATAATAGGTAAAATAAAGGAAAACTGTTAATATTTAGAATTTAATCACATCGATCGCAAATCTTATCTCAGATAACAGAGGAGACGTTTTTGACAATGTGTTCGTAACATCGTAGCGTGTATCACGCAGCTACAGTATACATATTTCATTAAATATTTTCGGAGTCAGTGAAAAATGGGTGCTATAAAAAATTATTTCAAACAACAATTTCAAAGTCGAAAATT